CCTAACGTCTATCTCTAGTGGCAAATTAATTTATACCAATCATTTAATTAGCCTTATTATAGGCCGATATGAACATTCTGGAAAAAAATGTGACGTGTAGCGAAAAAATGGTTTTATACAATTTTTGCAAGAACAGCATACATTGTGTCACATGAAGTAAGCCCAAACATATTTCAGTATTGTTTGGGCGTGCCTTCGCTATTGTAACAGGCCGGATATTACAAGAACACGAATGAGAAAGTTGCGTTCTCAAATAAGTGAGTGTGCAGCTCAATACTGTAACAGTTATGGCCTGTGAAAGAAAAAAAAAAGATCCTAGTTCAAGAAACATGAGTGTGTTGCAACTTATTTAGTCAGAAGATCTGAAGTCCTGTTGTTAGAAGATCGTATTAAAGTTATCACAGCAGCAATTAGCGGCAAAGTTTAACTGTGAAAAAACAAAATTTACTTTATTTACAGTATTTTTTTTCGGGGTGTAAAATATTATACACGATACAATTAATTGGCTGATCTCATCGTTTGATAAAATTTAATATTATTTATTTATTTATTTTGAAGCTCATATACAGTACGTGTGTGATAAATAGTTTCTGTATCAACCTAGCTTATTTACACGATATTTTTAAAAAAATAATATTCAAGTAATTTTCACAAACAAAATATTCAAAAAACAATAAAAGCATTAATGCAAAATTCAGTTTTACAGGAAACCTTCCTTTTTCGAATGTAATGATATCGTATAATGAGAAAAAACAATAAAATCGTTTTATTATTAATTAATAATTTTTCTTATTGTACTTGCACGTAATGCACGTAACTGAGGAGCGAACGAAAAAAACCGAGTCAAATTAATTAAGTGGGGAAAAAAGTGTGCATTATAATCGGGAAAATGCGACTATTGTATTAATCTTTAAAATATTGGTATTAAATCTGTCTTATAATATCACGACGACTCCTGTAAATCGGGTTATCCGATAAGAATAAAATACAATACCAATATAGCCCTATCGTTGAAAAAATTCGCTTATTTTTTCTCACCTCGAGTTTTTCTTAGTAGAAATGGCTATAAAATGCGCAAAATACATACGGAAATACGTTATTACAGGACCACCTGTATTGGACGACCACCTGTCTAAAAGACCACTTTTTGAAGCAACCGTGGGTGGTTGCCATAGACAGGTTTTACTGTATTTGAACATAACTGTCGAGTTTCGTAGCAATTGCCCGAACGGCCTAGGAGTGTATAGCGAGCGAACAAACAAACAAACGAATATCCTTATATATATATATATATATTTGTATAATTAAAAATTAAAATTATCGAGATCGATTATGTGAAATTAGTTTCATTAATGAGTCATGCGGTAAGTACTATACGGATTTGTTGTTATATAATATCTCATGAAGATAGGGGTGGCCAACCTTTGTGTACATAAGATCTACTTTTTATTTTAAAAATGGGTCGCGATCGACTTGTCACAGGCATAGTCTAAGTGGGGAGGTGAAGTGAAATACATACATATGTTCATACTCTGTGTTTCGGTACGAGGCGCACTCCCGTGAGCTATGGGTAGAAAAGCAAAATATATGTTCAAAACTATTGTTTATTTTTTAAATTACTTATTAAGTTTTCGAGATATGGGCTCATAAAGAAAATAAATTTCCAGATCCAACTTTTGATATTTGCATCTACGAATTCAATCCATAAAAAAGTCGATTTTCTGACACTTTTTCAAGATAGATTTTTAGTAACTTAAAATGTAATTTAATTTTGTTATCAATTGCAATGTATAAGTTGTGGTACTATTTGTTCGTAAAGATGAAAAGGTTCTTATAAAAATGCTCAGTATGACTGATAATTTGATTTTAAGATTTCACTTTCGCAATTTTTTTTTGGGCCAGGAAAATTCATCATGGAAGTATGATATAAAATTTTTAGAGTTATTTTTTGCTAATCTATGAATAGCTCGCAGGAATATACCGCGTACTGAAACACCATGTATATCTATCTACGTAAAAGATAACATAATTTTTTACCGGGCCACAAAAACTCACATTTAGAAAAATTAAAACAACATAAGTAATTATTAACAATATTTATTAATTCAAATAAGCTACAGATAAAGACAGATTTAGAATTGATAAGCAAACACCTTTATCGTTGCCGATAAAAATTTAATCAAAACAAACGTTTTCGACCTATTCCATTCTATAGGCCATTGTCAGATTTAAAACGAACAATTGGAAGATTTCGTTCCATAAGATTCGAATATTTCGAATTATTCAAAAACGGTTAAAAAATTTCGTAAAATTTTGCTAATAGAGATAATTTGTTAAGAAAATTATTTTTGTAATCTTGAAGTGCTGTGTCAAGGTGATCTAGGCCGCCATATGCCTATTGCCGGGGTAGGCAGGACTCTTAAGCCTTGGTAGGACACCTGCATAGGAGAAGAAAAACTCTGATCAGAAACCGTGAGGAAGGCACGGGAAACCACCTCAGCTATACCTCCCTTGTTAATGGAAAGCAGAAAACCTATTAATCTTACTGGCAAATATGGGACTCATCTCCAAGAGAAAGGTGTCATGCCCGGCAGGGGAAGTAATGGGGCTTCCCAGGTCGTCACCACGCGAAACCCCCATAGGAAGACCCCCATAGGAAGAATTCGAATAGGAACATGGAATGTAAGAACCATGCTTTGACCAGGTAAGTTGGAAACTGTCAAGAGAAAAATGAAGAGGCAGAATTTGGATATTCTTGGGCTTAGTGAAGTCAGATGGGAAGACAGCGGTGATTTTTTAGCGATGAATTCAGGGTTATTTATTCTTGTGGAAGTAAAGGAAAGAATGGTGTAGCATTTATTTTAGGTAAGAAGGTAAAAAACTCAGTTGAAAGAATTGAATGCAGAGATGACAGAATTTTAATGATTAAAATGAAAAGCGATCCCATGGATATGATGATATTTCAAGTATACATGCCTACTTGAGACTATGACGATGAAGTAGAAGAAATTTATGACCAAATTGAAGATGTAATAGAAAATGATAAAACTAAAAAATTCCTAATTGTTATGAGAGACTGGAATGCATCTGTAGGAGAAGGAGGAGATGGAAAAATTGTGGGCAAGTTTGGGCTAGGAAATAGGAATGAAAGAGGCGAACGACTAGTTGAATTTGCTACCAAGCATCAATTAATAGTTGGAAACACATGGTTCAAACAATCCAAACGTCGACTATACACTTGGAAAATGCCCGGAGACATTGGAAGGTATCAAATAGATTATATTNCGTAAATGTTCCATGAATAGAACATAAAAATTTTTTTAAATAAAAAATTTTACAAAAGGAAAAAATTAACATAAATCTTCAATGGACTAATTCTGGTCGAAGTTTCTAGTACATTTCTTAACCAAATATTTCCATGCCGATGGTAGGCTCTCCGCATCTCTCGCATTTAAACAGCCTTCTCCTATCTTACTTCTGTATATTTCTATTTTCTCCGCCGTCATTGCTAGAGTTGGGGAAGACAGAGGTTTGATGATTGTTGCCTCATCCCATTTTACCTCAGAGCCTTGCGCTTGCGCCATTTGGGACAAAATCGTTGAATTAGATGCTAGTGACGCCGATATAATCTTTTTTAACATCCAGTTGTAAGTTCTCATAAGGAATCTTATACACCCCTGCTTTTTCCTCCGCTTCGATACTATCTTTATCATTTCTCAAGATCTTATACAAATTAGGGGCTTTTCTTAAAACCATTCTTGATTCCTTTCGACTAGCAATTTCTTTCATAACACTATTCATACTACTATTATAAGTAAATTTTGTGAGCCTATAGGAACATTCTTTAAAGTTCTTTTTACTATGCCCCTTTCATACTTATTCACAGTATTGAGATTGCTTTGCCACTCTTAAAATATACGTTTTAAATGTAGAATCAAAGTATGGTGAAAGCAATAGGCATACAGAGAGTTATATTATCAAATAACTTATTTATATTTATAAAAAGTAATGTGCAGATGTTGTTTGTTACAAGAATGTGACGTGAATTTGTTTTACTCAACAATTTATCGTTGGAATAATTTTTAGAAATTATCACGTGTAGCATGTTTAAAAGTCGGCCATTTCTTTAATTATTTTTATTTTCTACTCTTTCAGGTCATTCAACACGATTGACTATAGTACAGTAGTTCTTTCATCTTAACAAGTCTGTTATAAATAAATATCATGAAGCTGTGTTATAAATATCAAATAAAAGGTGTCGATGCCAAAATTCTTGACATCGAAAAAAAATGAAAATACAAAGTATTAATTAAAAGCAAAGTAATTGTTCAATCATAAAGTAGTTATTTTTCATTTAGGAATATTGTTTGCAATGTACTCGATAAACCGTCCTCTTCTATACCAAAACATTTATAAATTGGCAATGAACACTTTAAACGGATCTTGCCTTTAGATGCTAAATAAATCACATACTGTATATTGAATCACCAAATACACACGTGTTATATTGTAAGTCTTATTAATATTAAACCATGCGACTTATAACACTCATATTCTAACATGTGTCTTGTAATTCTATCATATATGCTCATAATTATTACTGTTAAATACTGTTAATTTTAGTGCTTCAATTCATTACATGCTTATTTCAGAGATGATGCTAAATAGAGATTTTTCTACCGTTGCCAGATGTTCCACTTTTCTTCGATTGTCACGATTTTTTTGATTGAAACTTAACATCTAGAAAGGTTTATTCTGAAAACTGTATATATAATCAATTTTTTTAAACAATGAACTATATTTTTACCGCACATTAAATGTATTTCTATCAAAGAAGAATAAAAATACACGTTTATTGCATGTCCTGAAATTGAAGCGTACCAGTATCTTTCGGGGTAAACTAATTTTGTCCCAAGTGTCTACCAACCAAAGATTTGTATGTCTTTTAATATTAACTTCTAAACAAAATCATACAAGAATTACATTGTAGGTAATTTTAATTAAGTGTACAGTACACAAATAACGCAAATATGGCGTATAAAAAACAACACTGAATGAAACTACAGTTAACAAGGGCATAGAATTAGAATTTTTTATCCTTTGCTAGAAAAATATTAAAATAATTAAAACTCAAATTTTAATTAACAGACAATCTTTTTGTATACCAGTACCAATATAAAAGTCATTTCCAATGTAATGAAAAAAGTTATTCTTTAAAACACCTTATTTACGAAATAGTCTTAGGACGACCAGGGCGATGATTTATTAACAAAATTAAAGTATTTTGTGACTTTTCAAATAAGGGGAAAATCATAGACAAAACGACAGGTATAAAAAGTAGTGCATGAAATGCCGTTTCTATAGCAATAAGCACTACGATTTTCACAAATGTCGACAGAAAATATACATCCGAATATAAAATCAATATTCCTAATCCTGTGGACAATGAACCTTGAATAACAGAAAATCCAATACGATACAAAGAATCTCTCATTTTCTCGTTCGCAGTCTTCTTAGATGACGTAATATAAGCATAAGACATATGACAAGGGTAATTCACACTGAATCCAACACATAGAATTAGATTCATCATTGAGAATATATCCAAATTGACGCCCCATAGTGACATGTAACCCAATGTTTCTATTATTGAACATACAACACATATGGCAACAGTAAGGGCAACTAGAACGTTCGGTATCATTAAGAAAAAAATTATAGTTATTAAAACGGCCGTAATCCAAAATAATTGGTAAATTGTATGTTCTATGATTATACCTTGGTCAACTATACTCGATTTTATACAGTGCACCAAAACAGGAATTTCGGACTTTTCGGTAATTTCCCATAATTCTTTCAATGTATTTCTGTCTGATTGTGAAGTATTTAAATTCTTACCCATAATAAAAAATCTGCTATACAAAATATCAGTTCCATCGCTATTAAAGACGACATCATTAGATAGTGACTTGGCTGCGCGTATTTTGAAGAAAACGTTACGAAGACCATCGATGAAATCTTGTTTGTTCGACATGTTATAACCTCCTAACGAAAATTTTGCAACAGGATTATTCTGAAACTCCTTATAAAATTTTAACCACGATACAGTGTATTGCTCTTCGGCCACATTCGGATGTTGCTCGAATTTTTTTAAGAGATTTTCTATGGATTCTTGAACTTTTATATCTGAGTAATCTAAAGTCTTATTGATGATTATGTGAAAAGGATAAACGTAATTTGCAAAATATTTCATTCGAATCTGATAGCTTTGTTGAAGCATAGTACCTTCGGCAAATAAATGCTCATACTTTAATCCATGTTCAATAGAATGAGCACCCCAAATTCCAAGTGATAAATTAATGATATAGATAAAGACAACAATTATTTTTAAAACTGGATTCGATAGTATTTTTCCTAACACATCTTTAAAAAATACCATGGAAGCTTCTTCTTGTATTTCGTTTTCTGTCGAAGTATTTTGTTCGGATTCTACTGCAATTAATAAAAACTTAAAATTAAGATAAATTAATAGAAATAAATTAAAAAATGTGTAACAATTATAAGTTTTCTGTAATAAATGTTAATAAAATTAGAAAATTTCATTGTTTAAATTTTTGTGTTTAAAACACACATTAGGCTTATCATTTCCTCTGTTTGAACATATCTGACTAGGACTTGAGAGCATAGTTCTTATGACAAGAGTCAGATTTAATTTTGTTTTTTATAGAAAAAATTAAATAGAGTATTAGATAAAATTATTAAATGGATGGAATACCGGTATGTAGTTTATCTTTATAATAATATAAAATAATTAATACAACTATAGTTATCAACTGCTCTATAAAACTTTTTAATTGCAATATTCCTATCTTATTCTTAAACAAGAAAATATCATAAACGTGAGAGTAGGTAACAATTAAAACATGAAATTAGTAGCTAAATGAATAAAGTTTTTATAGACTAACACAGAAAAATTTGGCTTATGTCGGGAAAAGTGCGGGTATTGAGGGATTGCTGGATGTGTACAGATATTTCCTGAAATATAAAGAAAACTGATTTATTAACGCTGTTATAAATTCTGTTTTTCGGATACTTGTGCGCCAAATTATCATTATAAGACTTCTACATTAATTCTGTATTATTCATATGTATACACATATATAATATAAAATAAATTTTTATTTATATGACCCATTAAAACGTCTTACTTAAAAATAATAAGGTGTCTTTTTTATGTTGAGGAGAATATAATTTTATTACATATTGCCGATTATATCTAGCTTAAACTGGAATTGGATTGCTTCCAAAGTATTCGATACAAGCTGATATATTGAAACACACATTATAAATTCGCCCGTTTGAATATATGTCGGCTTGGATTTCGTTAATGCTTGTTAAGCGCAGTGATGCACCAAAAGGAGGACCAAGGGACTCTGGCACCTCCAAAAAAAAAACAACCAGTGGAAAATTATCCAAATCTTTTATTAATTCATTTTTTTATTTTTATTGTGTAGTGTCTTGTACTGCATTTCATTAATACTTATGAATTAGCAATCACATAAGGTAGGAATTTTATTGAATTCGCACTAAAAAGTTTTTTATCTGCTCAACTCGGCTTCTAAGTGTTTAAATCCTGTGTGCAACCTAATAAGGTTAATTTCTTTGACCCTATCAGATCTGAGATGTTATTATTAATAATAACATAGAGGATAAAATTCCTAAACGATATTAATTGTATGCCTTGTTCGCACCTAAGCAAAGAGCTCTCCAAGTGGTGTTTTCTGAGTTCTCTTGAAGTGTCTTATACCTAAAGAAAAGTCCGTTTTCTACTGTAAATCTTCCCAAGAAGTATTTTGTTAGATGTTGCATGTGTTATGTTGCATAACAGAGATGGGACAGACTTTAATTGAAGATGTAGGAAAATGATTAAGGTATCATATTTGGCTAGTCTGTTTCGAGAGATATCACTCCACGAAAAATCCAAGGAATTTTTCGTAGGGTGATATCTCCAGTTTAATCCAATTCCAACAAAGCGATAGGCAAACTCCTTAATAGCTTTGGCCATCTGGCTGGACAAGAGATTATATTACCTGAATGAACGTATATCAGTAACATTAGGTAATAAAAATAAGTGTTATATGAGCACTATTGTTACATTCAGATTTTAATTTTCGTAAAATTTTATCTAATTGAGATACAAACGAAACTTCTTATGAAACAATGTGATAGAAATGTAATACAGATGAACATTATGCAAATAAATTAAATCTTTAACGAGAGAGACAGCGTAATAAAACTGCTTTATAAAGACCATAGAGGTAATTCACTGCCACTGGCATTTTCTATGCTACTAATAAACGAAGTATGGTTAAACTCCATATAATATCATTATTTGTTTTTCTCTTCGAAAGTGCACCGAATTGAATATGTTACAGAACCAAAGGATCCCGTGCAATAAGAATTGTATAAAACAGTGAGATCTACGCGCAAATTTGAAATTTAACAGTTTCATACTCACGTAATTTTGTGATTGCAATACCCTTTAAAATGTAAAGTTGTGCTGTAAATTTTAACAAATTTAAAACTTACAGCACAAATTTACATTAAACTTAAATTAATTAATTAATTCATTATTATCAATACAACGCTGTCTATGAAGATTGCAACACCATAAAGGAATTATCCGATTAGAATGAAATTTTTACCATACATTTTTGAATGATTGTATAGAACATAATTGATTAAATTTTATAAAATCTTCGCGAGTTGCAATAATAAATGATATGGGTCGTGGTTAAAAAATATAAAGGCTTTTGATGGTATTCCGAGAAATTGCTTGTTAGGCAGCTAATATGCGTGTTCATTATTCATTTTTACTGACTGCTAGAGGGCTGACGGGTCAATTGCCGCTTGACCATATTCCAGACATATGCAATAGATGGCATGACCGGCTAACAGATAGGCAATGAAATAGGCAGTATCTGACGTGCCTAGAATAGGTCTTGTGCATAGTTAGCAACATGTGATTGGGCATTGTGCTGTTGGAATATAGTGCAGAAATGATCCAAAGAAGGAGTGTAATTTCGGCTTCTACAGCTTGCTTATGTAGCGGCCGCTGTTAAGATTGCTCTGAAGTGGTAGCTGCCGAGACCGTGAATAGTTTTCAACGGGGTTCCACACGATGCGAACACAATATTCGGTCACTGCCATGCAGAAGCAGTGTCTGTCATTTCTATTCGTTCACTGTCTAATTTTCAATGCACCCAGTTGTTTGCGGTCTGCTACCTCCACACAGTCATCACAGTTGTTTTCGCTAGCCACGATATAAAGGCTAAACTTATAAATAAAATAATAAAAACTTACTTGGTAAAATAAAATGTGTGATGGATATATTAATACATATCTGGTACAAAATATTCTTCAATTGATTCGGATAATTGATTCGGATAAACGACGCTCTACAGTATATTCATACAATGAATATACTGTAGAGCGTCGTTTATCCGAATCAATTGGGGACTGGGGTTGTTCGGATAACATATTTCTCGGATAACCAATTATGTACGAAAAAATATATTAATTTATCCCGTGTTGAAATTTTTCTCCGTTGCATGTCGCTTCGCGTTGAATTTTCGTCGATGTTAAGCCTAACGAAGACTATTGTATCGTTAGAAATTATTTTTTTATTTTGTACAAACAAAATAAATATATTGAAAAATAAAAAAAAAATAAAAAATTATACTTCAGAAGTTAATTTAGTATCAAAAACGTAAAATATTTGAGTAGCGGGAGACATAGCCAAAGATTACAGCGCCACAGCACTGGCAAAAATTTAAATTTGTTGACTGAAATTCCTTCGGATAGCCGATGTTTCGGATAACCGACCTTCGGATAAACGACGCTCTACTGTACTTTTAAAATTATAATTACATATAACTTTGTAAAGAAACGCACACAAAAATAACATAAAATCTTTTTTACTCTTTAAATCTTAACCATTTACAAGTTAGTCAAATAGCTCCCTACAAGTGGAATCAGAGACTATCCTGCTAGGTGTGCGGTGCGTGCATGCACGCGGGCTGCCAAATCCCGAGCGTGTCGATACCGGCTCTTTCAGCAGGGTTTTATTTATGTTCCCAATTCACTAATCGCTTAATTATTTAACTACTTCTTAAGTAGAAATAAGTCGAAACCAGTAACTTTGTACTCGAATATATGTAGTCTTGGGGAAGAAGTGGAAAGACAAATTTTTATGACAACGGATACATAAATTGTAAATTTAAGGAAAATAAATTCTAGAGCTTTTTCTGTACCTCGTGCATCTCTCTCATTCATTAAATTTAGTTGTAAATGATGTTGTCAAAGTAACAGTTAATTTTTTAACGTTATACAAGAATTGTACACGTTTTTTTCTACATCCCCTTAAACATGGGACATACGAAATCGTAATATCACTGGTTTAACATTGAAATCCGTCAGTAATATAAAATCGGAAAGCGGAATAAAAATATCAAATTTTTTAATGACTTTTTAAAAATTCCTGTCAACTATACAGAACTATCGTAAAAACATACTAGTAAATTCTTATCGGTTGGGTTAGGTTATAAATCTACTCGAGATTCATGTAATAGGGCGAGGGCGGCCAAATATCTAACATGAACGGCTAACAGCCCAGAACCAGTCCTGGATAGAATTGGATGCGTTATATGTTTAGCATTAACCCAAGGGCGTAGGCTTCCACCGGCTAAACTGGGTGAGGTTGGTGCTCTGTAAAGCGCATGCGCGAATCTGCCTTTTTGGATGATGACAATACAGCGTTTCCACTCGCCACTAATATTCGAATATACAATAGCGATCTTATCTTTTTTTCACGTGTAGTGTAGAAATTCGTAATTAGATACATAATGCGGTTGTAATAAAATATTGTGCAATTATTTTCGTATAATTAAAATTAATATGTATTTATTTTTTAGAAAATACAAAAGAACGGCGCATCCAACGCTTCCAACGACAGCACGCCACTGCTAACTATGCGTCCACATTCAATTTCTGTTGTTACATACCATTGAACAAATCATTATTGATGAGAAATAATGATTCCTGAAAACAATTTTACAGATCACTATCCATGATGAACTCGTGTGTGGCTTGAAAACAACCGTGCATTTATATTCTAAACTCCAGAGTTAACAGTGCTGAGCATATATTACCGAGCGTAGACATGTGCAATCACTCTGAATTTTGATAATTTGCATACCACACTTTGGTTTATAAACCCTGTAAGTTTAAAGCTAATATCACGATTCCTTAAAGTGCTGAAATTCTCACAAGTAACAATTTATAATAACAAATGGCACCCTGTTTCTATCAAATTGATCATTGATTGTTTAACCTTATACTACGATATAATGAATATGGAAGTTTGTTTGGTGGAACTTTGAGTGATGGAATAAGAGAATACAAGGATTTGGAGATTTGCCAAGAGTGGATGCTTACCGATAGGACTTTTTGTGGAAATCTCACCTTTGTTTTTGGTAATAAACACATGAAAAACACAGAAAACTACGTTGCGAGATCGTTGAAGATTCGCGAACCCACGATCCAGTATTCAGTGGATTCACACAACCCGCCAGTAGAAAATCCATGTTCAGTTTAAATATATTGATGCAAGGCGCCATTAAAAAATTCTATTAGATTAGTTTGAAATAAGATAAAAAGCAGTAATTTTACGAAATTCAGAAAAACATTAAAAATGTTCGTAAATTATCATTTGCATCGAAAAGATAATTCTGAGTTTGATCTTATCTACAGATGTATTTGACAGATGAAAATTAAAAATACTTAGAAAGGAAAACTTTTAACAAATGTAACGATGAAAAATGACTGTAGACAGAATATTCAGGCAGAAACTTATTTTGTTTGAATATGTTTCTGTCTACAATATGAGAATCGTAACAAAATTTTGAGGTACTTTAAGGTCAAATTAAATTTCAACTTACCTCGACTAAATAATGTAAAAGAAAGACAATTCTGCTTCTCTCTGTATCCACTTAATGCCAAGCAACCCCCGAAAAACGTCATCTGATACAGAAAAGTGAATACGATGCATGTCGCTGTATAATAACAGAATATTCTGACAAAAGGAAACGGACTCATCATTCCGATGCAATAAGAAATGAAGTTTGTGACTGAAGTCAAAGTGATGGAAATTCCAGCTTCACAATATGTTACTTCCATGCGTTTCTCGACTTTCTGCTTGGGATTGGTGACCCTCCAGCAGCCTATTACTACGAATGCATCATCTATCTCGGTCACTAAATAATTGATAAGTAAACACTTAGATTCATAGTATTATTACTAAAGAAATAAACATAAATATATAAAACATCTTACCAAGTACAAGATATGGAATGGTGGCATTCCACGAAATGTTTTCTATACCAAAAGCTGACATTAATCCGAAAGAAGAGACAACCGCTAATCCAGCCGATATGACACTGGCTGCACCAAGCACGGGTTGGGTTTACTTCTCACCCAACTATTGCTCATGCAGAACAATATTGAAAATATTATCATAAACGCTACTAAACCTCCTATTTTAGGCCGTATCTTATGAAATTCTTTCCTAAATTCTTTCTCTACGAATGAAGGAGAATCGGGATAGGTATTAACATAAGTGAAGTTATATTTCTGAATTGTGTCGTAAACGAAAGTAGACCATTGTTCAAATGTTTTTCTCTTCTCTTTATTCTTAGCGTCTGTTGAATAATATAACATCATTGCATTAACTTCATCTATAAAATTATTGTCATCCAGAACTACACCTCCCAAATTCACGAAGTAAATCTTATAGGTGAAAGACAATAAATCTATATCAATGGGATATTTTAGCTTTTTTCTTTTCTGCAGAATGGAGTTTATTCCCACTTCTGACATCACCTCAATAATCGGGTTTTGGAAGCATTTGTCGTTACTTAAAGCGCACACATCGAGATAACCCTTCTGTTTTCCATCACTATCAAATGTTACATTTTGTATGACTTCATCGATTAAACTTACATTCGAAAAAACATTTTCATCGAGCATGTTTCCTCCGCCTCTTTTCAAGAGGTACACGAGGAGGGCATTGGGTACATCAGGGAATCTCATTTGGTCAGAAAACTCTGCCGAATTATACGTAAAGTTATTTTCTACAAATTTCTTAGTATCGAAGATTTTCCCACTATCAGATACTACCATATCATAAAAATCTTCCTTGGTTTTTAGGCTTATGATGAATGGAGACAGAGCAATGGAGAGAATTACAGGTAAAATAATAAAATAATATGGATGTCTTCCAACTGCATTTCCGATCCTCTTGTAAATGAAGGAAAGATTTTCTCTTATACAGTCGATTTTCATTTTGTTCTTTTCAATTGAGAAATGTTGATAACCTAAATAAATTAATATATATGAATTTAATTTTAATCATTTTTATTTAAATCTATGCCTGACGTTGCTGGAAAAAAGTAAGAAAAAGTAACAAATGTTTAAAAACAAATATTATAGTATAAGTTTCCTTAGTTTAGCTCACTACTGTTATTTATATTAAGAAGTGAGATAGGGTATAAAAAATTTTTTAAAACATGAGGTTTCCAGACATGAGTTCATATAGCATATATTTACAGCAGAATCATATCGAGTATGCATGAAATCTTCGAGGCTAATGGTTAAAAGAGTTAAGGAGTTAATTAGTTGTCGTTGACCATCCTCCCGGAAAAGAGGATGGTCAATGACAACAAATTATTACTGTTCTACTATTACTATTTAAACAACTACTGCTTTTGGTCGAATTACTTCAACCCTCTTACACAACAGCCCTTCTTTCTATCGAACCGACTAGTATGGTTGCATTCGAATAAGAAAATTACATAATACAAGTTACCGGGCAACCCAAAATATGTTTTAAGCGGTTTTCATGGGTATCGAGTTTAAATATTTGGTCCGTTTATCGCGAAATTTGTTCGGTAGGCAGATTACTGTTTGATATTCGGCTGTAAATGGTACAGTTTCTTAGAGGTAACATTAGAAAAAATATGATATTTTAAAAATTTAAGATATCGTATTTTTCAATTGGTTCAAACTTTACCAATAAAATTGTGTCATTTCTTACCATCCGAGTATCGCGATAAACTTAACAATGCTAGGCAAAATAACCAAATTTTTATATGATTTTCTTTTTAATATTCGTTATATTATGGTATTTAATTTCGTAACTACAAAGGCTATATCACGTAAGGGTTTATCACACTGTAACCAATCTAACACATTTTAAAAAGTCTTTATTCCTGTACAGTACACATTTTAAAGAATTTTAAAAATATGTTAGATTGGGAACTTGGTGTGAACCCTTACGTAAGATAATCTTTCTAAATATAAATCAAATACCATAACATAATATAATAGAAAGGTTATAAGGATAAAATAATCTAATAATCTTAATCTTTGCTGTTGTTATTTTTTAGCTCGAGTAACGCCGGACTCATCTGTTAGTATTAATTAAATAAAATTAATTATTTAAAAATTAATTAACTTACAATTTCTTTTTAAAAATCCTTTCGAATGATCTCGAAACTAAATTCGCATTTCGGATTTTAATGTCTGTTAATTTAACGGAAGGTTACTCTCATTTACAGTTTATCAGCTAAGATTTTAGTTGCATAACTTTTATCATTTAAGAAACTTAATAATGGGAGAATGTTTGTATAAATAATATTTTTTACTATACATTACACAGGATTATTTTATTCACCTCTTATCACTGTAATAGAATTATTAATTAGACATGCGGCGCAGGCTAAGCAAGCCCAGGGAATTCGCCCTTGTTATAGTAACATGATAACATCTGACCCTTTTGTAACAAGTTGAATAAACTAACCTTGGACAATATTTTTAACTATAAAATTAGATAATTATCTTCAGTTTATAAAGAATAAAGTTGAATTCTGTAAATCAAATTTCATGAGATAATGGAAAATATAAATATTTATACTAGCAATACATATTACTCCTATGTTAGAAAATATATGGTACCCCAAAAGTCTATTAACCAAAGGATAGCCTGCTGAAAAAACGCATTGCTGTACACTGAGTTCGTTATTCATTCCCGACCTATATTTAACACAGTTAACTGACATTTCATCCACTTCGTATTTATCGTTATTTTTGATATAAACAAATTAAAATAAACATTTGTGGCGTAGTAAACACTAGTATTGTGTTTTATTCCAAAGACACATGGCAAATTTACCATCAAATTTCTTTTGATGGAAAATTTGCCACGTGTCTTTGGAATAAAACACAATACTAATGTTTACTACCCCACAAATATAAAACAGGACACGGTTTCAAAAAGAAAATCAATAAAATAAACATATTAACGTGTTTTCATGAGAACTGTTTTAATTTCATGAATTATTCGTGATTAATAACATACCTTATTTGTGTGATGCTGCCGATTTGGGAGCTAAATTCAGGACAGAAGTGGTTCAGGAATCGTATGTGGGTACACTGAGACAAACTCAACGATTACAAACCCACCTCTTTATTTGTAAGTTGCTTACAAAATTTTTATCGTTTTGGAATTTGAATGGAAGCAATGTTCAATGTCTGAGGCAAGTTCTGATACAGAGAATATTCATAAACGGTAAGAGGAAGAGGTTCGAGAAAAGATGTCGATAGGGAAGATGATTGATGAAGAGATGAGATATGAGAAAGAGAAGGGAGACGAAGACGATGACGATGATAGGCACATAATAAAAGCCCGACAATCAACTCGGAAAAAGAATCCTGCATGTCCTTGAAATTCAAGGTTTTTAATAAATTTATTTTCGAATTAAGCATTTTCATTTGTTCTTATTCTTTTTCAGAGTCTCGCTATTGGTCATTCTTTGTATCTAGGTGAATAGGATTTTAGCAAATTATTACGGTTTTGATTAGTTTAGACTTCCCTTCTTCGCTTCTCAATTGGTCATTACTCTGTTTCCAGACCAAATTTTCAGACAAACACTTATGTTTCCTGACGAACAACTTATCTCGCTACCTAATCTGAGTCTTATCAAGAGTCAGATTAGAGCGCGAGAAAGGTCGGTCCTCGAGTACACTTTGATATCTCATTTTCAATCTGTCCGATAATTGTTTATTGAACCTTATCCCTTTTTTCTCGTATTATAAGCTGTTGTATTTTGATATTATAACAATCAAGAATTTTAACAGAATTGTTAAAATTTTTTATTTTTACGACGTTCTCCACATTTATTAAAAATAATCCCTCAAGATTTTTACATGTTTGGATTCAGGACAACTTGAAACATCGAGAAATGCAAAATAATTCAAGGGTTTCTTTCTGTATGTATGGATTTTAGTGTGTATGTGTGCGTGCGTGTGTCTGGGTGCACAATTCTGTGAACCGCAGGGAAGGTCAGAGGTCTCTCAGTTGGCGTCACTAGTCAGAATGACAAGTTAGGCGCGTGGAGGGAGAGAATTTTGGGGTCGATGCCCAGGTGAAGGGCGTGATCGAGTAAAGGAGTCTACCATTTATAACAAATATAACAACAATTTATTAAATTAGCAAAATCGACAAAAAGACTACACAAAACTGGTTTCTCAACAGCCTACCAAATCGAGAGAAACTTTATACGCTTTTTCATACATCTTTCTACGGTTCCTAGACGGGTAAGCCCATGTAGGCACTTAATTGTTCAATGAAGTGGTTTTAATCCAAATGAGCACAATTATAAAAATTTTGCGACTTTGGCGATGATCGGATATCGTAGATCAGAATGTCGGTGGGTTCGGAGAATCGGCACGATGTCGTCGGTCCAGCGTTCGTGAAGAGACTTTCCCGAAGGGGGTAAGAACAGTCTTATATAGCTTTTTGTGGTGAATTTCCACCACGTGATCGGATGTTCATGAGTTAAAGGTTATAGGTGTCCCAGGGACTTAAAACAAGTGACGAAAGTTGGATGTTAACCATAAACTTTTCTGCAAGATGAGCCGCAAGTTCTGCAGATAGCGATAGATAGGACAGGAAGGTTTACACATTTGGCAAAGATCGATTTTTTTCTAATTAGTTCGTCAAATTTGTTTATTTTAATTAATTTTGGATCTCACAATTCTGTTTGTTCTCTTTGGATATTAACAACTGCTATTTAAATTTTTGAAATTTTGCAGTGAAATATGCTCATTACGGGATTTTTGTTGTCAAATTTTATGGTTAAAGGTCGAGCGGATGGAAAGATAAAGGGGTTCCGTGGATAACCAGTAGGATCAGCATTAGCATTTACAATGTTTTATAAAACTCACCCGTAATCTGAAAATTAAGGTTTTTGTGATTTTATAATAAATATAAAAATGTTTTATGTAAAATATCCTAACAGATGGCACCACATGTAATTTTAAATGTTGCTGGGAAAGTTAAGCAAACCGTTTCTGGATTTTTAA